CCCCAGTAGGGGGTGTGCAAGAGGCAGCCAATCAATGATTCTCTCTCATCATCGATGTTTCTATCTCTCTCTCCTTCTCCCTTCCTCTCTGAAATCAATAAAGAAATATATTTATAAAAAAAAAAAGAACAGATGTGTGGTTTAGTCTCATTACTTAAGAGCTACAAACCTAAAGAAGCCAGCAGGTCTGGATTCTATAATCTGACTAGTTCGGTTTGAAGACTGACTCCACCACCACTATGACTTTGGGCAATTCATTTCCTTCTCTGTGCCTTTCAGTGTCATCATTTTAACACGTCATAGCCATAAAAACTGTATGCCAGGAAAGAGTTCCAAACAACACCTAGGAGAGTATACTTGTCCCCTGGGAGTAACCACCATTGTGCAACTATTTCCTAAAATCAGAGTTGGAAGAAGGGCCAGATGGCAGCTAGTGGAAGTCTTCATAAAATATTAGCCAATCCTACCTGCCAGGGACCTATAAGGGATTTGAGAAGCCTAAATTTCAAACGCTGCAATCTTATCCACTATGATATACCGTATGTTTGAGCAGAACCAATCTTTAAAAGCAAAAAAACAGAAATACACTATAGGAAAATACTTCTAGACTGCCAACATGGTGTTAAAAGGTTTGAAAGACTTGTCAAAGCATATGTTCACCAGGTCACTGAGGAGTCTAGAACATCATTTCTGCTTAAGTTGCTGAATGCTTTTGCCTTTCCAGCTACTTTCAGACTAGGTAAGGGACATTTATAACAGAGCAAATAAAATCAAGTGACAAATTACACAACATCTTAAAAGCAAGTTACTTAAGTTCCTCAATTGGTACAATCACGACAACTCCTTTTCGTTCAGACCTGTAAAAAAGAACCATCTGTATTTGTGTCCTAAGCTTTCCCGTACCTGCATTTTGAACACAGTCAGGTTCAAGTCCTCCCGGTGCCCCCAGGTGCCTTAGGTTGGATTCCCCTTTGACAACCACAAACTGTGGTTTCCATAACAAGCTGCTCTGAAAGTGGTTCTGTACCCCCAGGCACCAGTTAGGTCCCTAGTGGCTAGCAGCTTAAACTATTTGTGAGTAGTTTCTGGGCCCCAACCTCACCATTCACCTAGGAAGCCTGGGCCTTAACCCTTCAGGACTCAGACCTCTGGCAGCCTATACGTTGTGGTCTTTACCCACCGTTGGCTGAAGCACCTCAGCATGTGTGGTTTGACAGATTGGGACCAGCAGGTGGTCAAACTGCAGGAAAAGGGTTATATACAAAATCCAACAGTCCAGCCTGCTCTGGAGAACCAGGAAAGCTGCAATTTGCTTTGTTACCTTTCTTGTCACCATTCTAACAGAGGAAGCACAGAAGTGAGAACAATTGTGGCGGTTCCAGCTTAGCATTCTTTCAACTATACCACACACCTTACAGCTTGAAGATACTATGCAAGGATTTTACAGATACTGGACAGAGGGCCAGGACAACAGGACAAAAAGAGAGCCTTGCCCTAGCTGGTTTGGCTCCATGGACAGAGCATCAGCCTGCAGCCTGAAAGGTCCCAGGTTCGATTCCAGTCAAGGGCACATGCCCGGGTTGGGGGCTCAGGTCCCCAGTGAGGGGCATGCAGGAGGCAGCCAATCAGTGATTCTTTCTCATCACTCTTGTTCCTATCTCTCGCTCCCTTTATGAAATCAATAAAAATGTATTTTTCAAAAATATATTTTACACACACACACAAGTACGTCTCTCCTGGGCAGTTCTATGGAACGGACATTCCTGACCTTCAGTGCTGGTCACACAGATAAGGCTCTATGTCCTACACATCTAGATGGCATATTACGAAGCTACTGTACCGTAACATAAAAGGAAAAAAAGCAAACTAAAATTACAGCTAGTTTCCTCAATTATGTAAAAAAAAAAAAAAAAAGCCTAGAAGATAAATTAGGTGTTTGCTAACTAGTTTTTCCAATGGGGGAGAGAACCTATTGTCCTTAGTCCTGTCTATCATATATGACTTTCAATTAAAGTTATTTGGCACCCTGGCCGGGTAGCTCAATTGGTTAGTGTCATCTCAATACACCAAGGTTGCGGGTTCAATCCTTGGTCAGGGCATATACAAGAATCTAGCAATGAATGCATAAATAAGTGAAACAAAAAAAATAGATATTTTTCTCTCTCCTTTCCCCTTGCTTGAAAAATGTATAAATTAAAATAGTAATCTGGGCCGAAACCGGTTTGGCTCAGTGGATGTAATCTGGCATAAAGTTCTTGTGATATTTTCTACCTAACCGTTCAAAACAACATATGCATGGTCACACAATTTTTCAAGTTTTGGTGATATTATTAAAAAGAACCCTAGACTATTCTCACCTGGATTTTAACCTCCCCCCTTTAGCCATTCTATGTGGATGAAAAGACCAAGCACTCTGGCACAATAACCTAGTGGTTTCCCCATTTGTGTCCAAATTTCCCCTTTCTAGTGTCTCGGTGCACCTACTGAAGCCTCCGTTGGTGGGTTATGTTATCTGGCCCTTCACTAGGCCGCTATCATCTACTACTCTCCTCTACCCTTGCTGTCTAGTTATGTGGTCTCCCTTTATCTCAATCAAATTGACTGGGACCTCCTAGCATTCACACAGCAGGCTGGCGCCATCACCTATCTGCTGCTTAAGTACCAGTGATCACCTGTACCTATTTCTATAGCACTTCCTGTGTTTGTGATATTATCCCCACGTGGTGGGCTGTTTGAAGTATCTGACCTCTAGGAACTAATGCAAATAGCAACTCTAACAGTGATCATCAGAAGGCCACCCCCAGGACGGGAATAGGTATTATTGCCCCAGCTTGAGAACTCTGCCTCAGAGGGTAACTACAGAGTTAGAACATTCAATCACCAAAGTAGCACCCAGTATTTCTGGGCCTAGTGCAGCACAGAGGCAGATGCCCACAAGGGACACTACCATTATTCGGAAGACAACTACAATAGGACATGGGGGCAAAGGATCACCTAACATTGATCCAAGTCCTCATGGGTAGCAGCTGAAGAAATGAGAAAAATAACCAGAGCAGGAACTTCACTAAACTAAATTTATTTAAGAACTCTCCTGAGATATTACGTCCTCCCCCTTCGTTCTGGCATTAGGCTGTGGGCAGTGTTTCCATACGTTAGTGTGGGCATACAAGTCACCTGCAGATCTTGTTAAAGGCAGTTCCTAATGCAGTAGAGATCTGAGGCAGGGCCAAGAGTTCCAACAATTCCCCAGGTGATCCCATCCACCTTCTAGCAGCTCAACCCAAAATATCAATGCTTTAGAGCCCAGTGTTATATCTTTTTGGAACCAAGCTTCTAACCAAAACAGAGGGTAAGCTTCCTGGTACTATCTGCTCTAAACTGGACAGGGAAGTACCCCCACTTGCTCCAGTCTCCAAGATGCTCTACGACTCACTTAAAATATAGCTAGAGTCAGCAATAAAACCCAGTTAGATCTCTGAACTCCCAAGAGTTATTATTTTTTTAGATCTCTGAACTCCCAAGAGTATTTTCAATGAGCCAGGAAGTTTAATTTTAAAACAGAGAAATTAACTCAACTGAGAATACAGCAGGACCAAATGAAGGGTAGGCAGGTTTATACTGTTAAAATTAAATAGTAATACAAACATAAAAACATACACAGCAAACAGCAACATGCACAAGGACAGCAGTAGAGGGACTTCCATATTTCTGAAGTGCTTTTAGATGAAACTAGCAAATGCTCTCCATCTCCTCTGTACATGTGACTTCCCATAGCAGCTAGCACCCAACACTTTAGCTATTCACCAAGAAGTTTGTTCTAAAAAATATTCATTCCAGTAGTTGTTGCTATAATTACAGAAGTTAAAATGAATGAGGCTCCCCTATAAAAATGAGGCTGAATTACAAGAATCAAGACCCCTTCATAAGTTCTTTCTGTTTACAAGGTGATAGCCTGGCCCTACAGTAAAAGACTGAAAAGTGGTTGCACATTTATATTTTAAATGAAATAAGATGTATATGGCAACTGGATCTGGTCTTATTGGGTAAGACTTTATTATCAGGAAGACAAAATGTCACATTTTCATAAAAAACTGGACACACTAAATAATCTCTGGGTTTTAAAATACCTATCAAGACAGCTAACATTACAGCACCATGAACAGCAATGAAAGGTGGTCCAAGGACAACTGAACTTGTTAGTCACAAGAGAGTAAGTTAGAAATGGTGGCTTTTGAATGTCACTTCAGTGACCTGGAAATATGCAGGCAAGGAAGTTCCACTTTCACACTAAAAGGGGAGCAAACTGATTATGAGAAACATTTCTCACACATTAACACAAAATTATCCCTTTTTGAGCACCACGTGCCTGGTACAAGTCTAGACACCCTACAAGCACTAACCCCATTTAGCCTCTGAGGGACATTACTATTATTGCCTCCATGATACAGATGAGGAAACTGAGGCAGAGATTAACTTGCTTAAGGTTAACACACCTAGAAGACGGTGGGAATCGATCCAGGAAACTTGCTTCAAAGGCCACCCTCTTCTCTACTTATATTGCCTCTTAACAACCTTACAGACTCTCATTTTAAAGGAAAACTGAGTCTGACAGTTAAAGCAAAATTTAATCCCAAGCATCATGCAGAAGCCTGTAATCCCTTCACCAGGCATCAGTGTTAGTAAAATCTCTAGGGAAGAACAGAATCAGAGTGGAACATGGAAACACTGCACCCTACCTTTAATCAAGGCTCTAAGCCCAGCCCCAATCGTACCTTCCCCGCTGAACTCAGTCTCCTGTGACCCCTGCACCACAGCTTATCAACAAGGCTGCGGCGAGCACAGGCAATGCTGTACAGCTCAGGCTTAGACCTGCCAGGAAACACTGGCATCCACTCGGGAAGACAGGGGTGTTACCAGCTATTCCCATCGAAGCTTTAATGGCTTGAGGTCCAAGGACTTGAATATGGCCAGGCTCCTTTCACAGAACACACACAGTAACGTACATTTCACTGAAAACATTTTATTGGCCTTTTGGATAGAAACGGGAATTTATTTGCCAGGAAGGATGATGCCATCATACTGAAAGAGAAGAGATTTATTTTTTTTTCAGAACAGGAGGCAACAGCAAAGATTGCAGCAATGGCTAACGTTTCATTTGAGAAGTCAAATCTGATACATGAATTTGGCTCTGAATCCCATACCCATTCTGAACTAAATAGAAACGGGCCAGTTTTAACAACTGCTACACTGTGCTCAACTGCACTACATCCCCCAAGAAAAAGGGGGCTCTTAGGAGAGCCGTTTTCCCACCCTCCGAGCTATCAGCATTCATGGAGGTGGAGAAAAGCCCCAATTCTGGGTGTTCTTTTAAATCATTGACCCTGGAAGCCCCCACTTACCAAGCTGCTCAAATATTCTATCTTCAAAGAAGCTACCCACCAATTGGTGGTAGATTTTGCATCCCCAAATCCCAACTCCACTCACCGCATTCCACCATTTCACCTGAGATAAATCAGCGTTACCTTCTGCTGGAACCAGCGCATGGCCTCCTCTTTGCTGATTCTGTGTTTGGCCCCAATGCAGCCTGTCCTGCGTTTCTTGTCTGCGATGCTGAAACCTGGCCTACCCAGCACCTGTCCCAGGAATAACCAACAGTCACCTCGCCAGCTCAGAGTCAACAGCAGACAGACAAGACCCACACATTGGAGAGATCGATCTTCAAGAGTCATCTGGTGGCCCAGTAATCCTGGAACTGGGACCAGCACCCTGGACAACACACCGTAGGCTTGCTTTGGAGGGTGGAACTTGGCTGCACCTTCCCTCTTCCCTACCTCACTTCCAGTGGCAGCTAAGGATTCGCCACCACTGCTTCCCAATTTCCAAAGCATTTTTAATTTTTAAAAGCAGTATTAAGAACCACCTTACTACATGTGTATTGTAGAGAATTTAAAATTCTGAGAAGTTACAAAGAAATAGTTTTATTTCTCTCCTTCCACTTCAGAGCAAAAAGTCTTTCTTAAATTAGCTTTGCTGTTTCCTGACTCCCAACAAGCACCTCATTCTCATTACTGTTTGGATATCCAACTCCGTCCGACAAGGGTGCTGCCATCATTCAGGTTCCACACCAGTCAGGACTTCTGGTTTTGCTATTTAGTCTGATGGTTGGACCAAAGCATAACAGTAACACAAATGGTCATTCCTACGTTGAAATCCCCCCTGAGACAAACCAACCACATCACCAAACCTGCCCTCTGGATGGAAGCCACCCTCCCGCAGGGGCTAAGGAAGGAGCTGGAAAGAGCAGCCTCAGTGCAGCCAACCCAAATGCCAAACGAGGCGCCCAACACTCGCTCTCAAATTTTCAATTCAGTGGCTGGACAACACTGTCTCTTCCTCCATCTTACAGCCATACTGGTGATTGCTAGATCCTAGACTTTAAGCTTCACATGAGCAGTGACCTTGTCTGTCTAGTTCAGTGCTGATCCCTAAACAGGGCACAGATGAGGCACATCTTCCAAACGGAAAGAAGATAAAGGCAGACAACACTCAAAGTTTCAATCCAACACCTGAACATTAAAATAGCACACATGAAATGAAGGAGTAGCCGATTCCATGCTCCTCCCAGAGAAGAAGTGGAAAAGACCAAATATTCATACCACATAGAAGTCCAGGCCGTAGATACCAATGCTTGGGTCATATTTGATCCCCAGATCGATGTGTTCCTGGATCCCAAAACCAAAGTTTCCAGTATCTGAGAAGTTATTTTTTCGTAATTCATACTCTCGCACCTGAGGAGATAAATGTAGCCAATCACACTCCTTGTCAACTCAAATCCCCCCAAAATAACAAACTTGGCTTATAACACTCAGCACCGCAGAAATACAATTTGATCAGAAACAAAATCTGGTTTCCCCACTACACCAAATCACATCCCAACTATGGATTTCACAGAACTTTCCCAACTTTCCAAGGGCAGGGAAAACCCACAGGAAACATCAGAGTATAGTTCAACTCTGCCAAATGCAGGAATAATCCTTTAGAAGTTCAGAATACAGATGACGCTGGCTGGACAGCTCAGTTGGTCATAGTGTCGACCCTTACACAAAGGTTGCGGGTTCGATCCTCAGTCAGGACACATACAAGAATCAATGAGTGCGTGAATAGGTTGAACAACAAATTGTTTTTCTCTCTCTCTCTCTCCCTTCCTCTTTAGGGAAAAGCAAATCAAAACCACAATGGAATAACATCTCGCACCAGGCAGAATGGCTATTATAAAAAAGATATGTGTTGTCAGGATGTGGAGAAAAGGGAACTCTTGTGCACTGTTGGTGGGAATGTAAATTGGTGCAGCCACTATGAAAATCAGTATGGTGGCCCTAGCTGGTTTGGCTCAGTGGATGGAGCGTTGGCCTGCGGACTGAAAGGTTCCAGGTTTGATTCCAGCCAAGGGCATGTGCCTTGGTTGCGGCCACATCCCCAGTGGGGAGTGTGCAGGAGGCAGCTGATCGATGTTCCTCTCTCATCAATGTTTCTAACTCTCTCCCTCTCCCTTCCTCTCTGTGAGAAATCAATAAAATATATTAAAAAAAAAAGAAAAGAAAATCAGTATGGTGGTTTCCCAAAAAATTAAGACACACCCAACCCTATGTTCACTATAGCATTATCTACAATAGCCAAGACATGAAAACAACCTAAGTTGCTCAATAAGGGATGAATGGATAAATATGTGGTATATATACACACATACAATGGATTACTACTCAGCCATAAAAAAAAAAAAACTTGACATCTGCAATAATGCCAAGGACCTTGAGGGTATTATGCTAATGAAATAAATGAGACAGAGAAAGAAATACCATCATTTCACTTACAGATGGGATCTAAAAAACAAAACTCCTAGATGCCAAAAAAGACCGGTGTGTGTGTGTGTGTGTGTGAGAGAGAGAGAGAGAACACTGTGTTAAGAGGGTCAAGAGGGACAAACTTCCAGTTATAAAAAAGTCATGGGATGTAACATACAGCATGGTGACTATAGTTAATAATACTGTGTTGCATTTTTGAAAGTTGCTAACAGTAAATCTTTAAAAGTTCTCTTCACAAGAAAAAATTATTTTTTAATGTTGTACAGTGACAATCAGGTTTATTGTGATAATTTCAATAAATAGCATACTGTACACATGAAACTAATACAAAGCTATATGTTAATGACACTAAAAAAAGGTACATGTGTTAAATTGGTGCTCGTTAGCATCACCCCGTGCCAGGATGGGCCTCACCTTTAGACCCTTCTCCAAGATTTCTTCTGCCTTGGCCCCACGGACTGTGCAGTGGACAGCAATCTTTTCATTTCTCCTGATGCCAAAGGACCTGACGGTGTATCTGGCTGCAGGGCGGGGGGAACAGGGAGTCAGGGGTTGTCGGACTCCCACTGCCTATTCCCCAGAACATCACCTCCCCGACTCCAAAGAGATATTAAGGATCTATCCACACTCTGAGTGGTGGTCTTCTAAGCAGTGCCACCTACGTCTTTTCATTGGTTTCATGGAAACACAGAACTTTTCCCACCCCAAGTCACTCAGCCACACTTAAGCAATTAAGAGCTTAGTGGTAAAGTCAAGGTCTCGGGGAGGTAAGTTCACAACCAGAACAGGCCCCTAGAAAGGAAGGTGACCATTGTGTTCTACAAAAAAACAAAGCATTTTAGGGCAACAACAGCTAATGTTTGCCAAAACCTTATTAGACTGTCATCCCCATTTCACAGATGAGGTTCTGAGAGATTAACTTGTCTAAGATCGCAGTTGGCAATAAGCGGCAGGATGTGAACCCAAGGATTTGCCATATTCCACTACCTGAAAGCAACACAACCTGACCCTGTTCAGTGTCGCCTATATAATCCTACTTGCTAACCAGGCCTAGTGCCATTCACTGCTCCCCCAGCACTGCCCCTCCGCCCGCTCCCTTTCTTGGAAAACCTTTGCTTGGGCCAGACCTAATCTCCGCTCACAGTAAAACCTTGTGTTCCAAACGCCACAACCAACCCTAAAAGGAAGGTATTTCTTGGGTTAGGCCAAAAAGTTAGTGCTTTTAAGGGATGTCATCCGTCACTTTCAAAATGGGGCGCTCAAAAGGCTTGGCGGAGACCGGCCTCCAGCCCCCCGCGGGCCGCCACTCACCTTTGGAGAAGACCGGGGTCTGGCCCGTGAGCTGCTCCAGGACCTTGGCTGCCCGCGTCAGTCGGTCCCCACTCTCCCCGACGCAGATGTTGAGGCAGAGCTTGCGGATGCGCAGCTCCCGCATGGGGTTCTCCTTTTCCCCTTGATCCTGCTGTGAACAGCGGGCGCGGCGGTCACCACGCGCGGCCCGCCCCGGCTGCGAGCGCTCTTCCCATACATAGCACGTCTCTCTCTGCTCAGCCCACCTCCCACCGGAAGCCCTAAGGACTGAGCAACTGTCGGGGATGACAGCTCGGGGCCTTGTTCCTTCCTCCACGCGCGGAAGAGGGGAACGGAAACGTCGGGCAGGTCCTGAGGTTACAGACACCGAGGAGGAAGCCCCAGGGGCTCAACATGCAGGGTGACGGAGAGCGCCCCATTATGAGGCCAATGAGGGGGAAAGGAAATACAGAATTTAACTGCTGAGGAAACGGGAAGCACGTGCTACCGCCGCGTCCCCCATCCCTCTCGGAAGCAGCGCCGAGACCGTGGCAAAAGGCCGGCGGCCCTTCCCGTGCGGAGGTCCCGGCCGAAGTTCCCCAGCACCGGCCAAGCCCCAGGTCCCCGGGACCGGAAACAGGTGCGGACCCCTTCGTTCGAGCCGCTCGCTCTCGCTGCAGCCCACGGCCCGTGCTTCG